TTTTTTTTTCAAAAGTTTCTTTAAAACCTGAGCTAGTTTACCTCAACGTTTCATAAGTAATATACAATATGAGTGGGCGATCTGTATGAGGTTTAAAACAGCTCGCTTTCAGCTCGCTGTTTTAAATCCTCATACAGATCGCCCGCTCATATTGTATATATTACATACAGCATGACCTTAAGCCAAGTATTGTCCCACACATCTCTCCCACTCAGTATTTTCATAGTATTTTCTACCTGGTCAGCACACCAGTACCAAATCGAGGCAATAGTCTGGCCAAAAATAAATCCTGCCCATGGCATGTCAGAGTTAACTGGGTCTCTCAACATGATAAAAGAATCATCACGTGGTCTTCCACATGTACTGTTAGAGAACAGTGTGTCATTTGACACCGCATGCATGTACTTCTCCTGCAATCCACCATAACCACCAACTTCATAAAAACCTGGTGCACAATCAAATGATCAAAATATTAAATCTTATTTGAAAATAGTTGATTTTCAAAGGAGAATTTAGATGCTCATCAGTTGACTTACCCATTCCCATCACTGTTAATGAGCCAACTGCCATAAGAAATGTGCATAAAGTGTCAGTATAGATGACAGCAGCGAGGCCACCTATGAGAAGACAAATTGCTGTTGTTTGGTGACAGAACATAAACCAAATAAGTAACATTCTTGGTGTACAATGATGGGATTTAACATCCGTCAAGGATGAGCAATAACAATAACAGCAACATCATACATACCAGTGACTGTACAAAGAAAAGTCATGAATAACATCAGTAGAATAGCAAGGTAGAGATTCCACCCCAATGCAAGGCGAATGAATAGAGCACCAGAAAACAGATTCACCTGAAATTCATTCACAAAGTAATAACAGACAGCTGCTTTTATGTAACAAAAATGTTTCTTAGTTAAAACAACACATCTGATGAAAGTATACAACAAAGTTTGAGACAATTCATGTAGCTGTGCAAAATAGTTCTAATCTACAAAAAAAGATTTGATACAGAACTCAATTTCAGTAAAAGTTCAGCACAAGGSTTAGGAGAGTTTTRAGCTTGATAACCTAAGGGCTACTCACAGATATCTTGGTAAATATGTAAAGCAAGATTGACAACACWGAAAGCCATATTCGAATACGCTGCCCACCAAATCGTCTATGAATGTACTCTGGTAAAGTGCACACCTGCAATATAATAATAACAAAAGAGGTATTAGGATTTCTATCTTTATTTCTCTATATTTGCACTTCATTCCAACTTGTATACATACTTTTAACAATAAAAATATATTATGACAAAACATCTGTTTGCAGTAATTTTGTACCTACCCCACCAGCAATGTAAACAGGGATAAAAACCCAGCCAAGGAGTTGAAGAAGAATTAGAGCCTGAAAAAATAAGACAGCAACTGACTAGTTAAATTTGAAAAGTACAATCTTTCTTTGGCAATTACTATTAGTATAAAATTACAACACTGGCCTTTAAAGAAACCTCTAATATCAAACATTTATCATTAGAAATATTAGATATATATATTGTAACTGTCAATCAATGTGTATAAGTTTTGAATTATTTCTTACGTTAAACTCAAATGCACCAACTCCAATGCCTGCTGCAGCCCCTGACCCAGCCAGTCCAATGAAATGTTCACTGCCTATGTTACTAGCAAATAATGACGCACCCACCTTTTGAAAAGATAAAAAGAACTGGTTAAAAACTGGTTAAAAATGGTTCTAACACTACGAACAATCAATTGTGTTCTTACCGGAAGCCATGTCATGAATCTCCCAGCTAAGAAATAACCACTTACAGTTCCACGGTTTGATTTAAAAGTTGCCTAATATCAAAAATAGCAAACTTAAATACTTTTAAAGAGTTTAATCTGCACATCATAAGTTACATGCTGCAAATGAGTTTTTTACCACACTTGAGCAAATTATCGCGCACTGATTTGCTGATAAAAGAGTTCCACACTGTGTCGACACAATACCATCTAGTGCGCACGCTCAGTTGAAAGAAAAGAATGATTTTCGCTAATACTCCAGTTTCGAATTCAAAGCGAATAGCCGCTGTTTTATTTGACAGCAGATTCTCTTACGCAAAGACCTTACCAAACACAAAAGAAAGCATGAGAAAATGTTGCCTGTACAATAGCGCTTACAATTTACATTTTCCCCAAGTTGAGGCTAACCCTGTATTCCCAGAAGGCTCATACCTTAGGTCTCATGGGAATACAGGGTTAGTCTCAACTCGAGGAAAATGCAAATTTTCAAGTCTTTTGTAATAACGACATTTTCTCGTGCTCTCTTTTGTGTTTGTAAGGTCTTTTGCGCAAGAGAATCTTTTGTCAAATAAAGCAGCGGTTTTGCGCTATGAATTCGAAACTGCAGTATTTTGAGACTTAAATGTGGTAAAAAAATGCACATGATTTTTTTGTTGTATGTCGTCTTATCGACACATGTTGCTGCGCTCGTGGGTCCACTTGTAATTGAGTTTTGAACACAACTTAAAACTGCGCAATTTTGTTTAAGCTTAAACATGCACTCATACTTAATTTTTTAGAATTAGCTTAAATTTACAATTACTATTAAGAGTACTTTATTTCGCACAAATGCTTTCTGAATTGATGGCATAGCTTCTTTTACACGTTTATATTACATTTGCATTATTATTATATTTCGACAAAAGTCTTTGAGTCATCTTATGTTTATGTGTGGTGCCTGGTGGGCATCCCGTCACGACCCAGCGATTCCGCCCGTTAAACAATTGAGCACCTCCTTTGGCTTTTGAACGTTTTCTAGARGCCTACTTTTGCATACTATTCATTGATACTTAATTTATGTACTTACATACACTCCAATTCCTAGGACAATGAGAAAATAAAGTACAACAACAACAATGTCTTCCACCTCTAGACCACGCGGCTGATAGTCGACCGCCATTTTGCTATCCAACMCGTATCCWAAAGAGCAGGTAGTTGTTTCGAGCTGAACGATGCCCGGGACCACGTAGATTATACCAACGAAACTTAACAAAGTTATGCAACAATGCTACTTCTGAAGGACGATGGTATAACGCAAGAATATTTACGATTCAGTCACGATGAATGAATTCTCTTGTCAATCAGTCTAGTCCCCCCACCTCAAAGACCTGATGACTCACACAGGTATCCCAATCATAAACAACTCACTGCTATTTGAGTGCAGTCATGCAGAGGRCACAAGATGACATTCTTTATAAATGTTACGCCCATACAATCGTTTATTAATTCTATTCATTTTTGTGCTTATTTTTAATAACTCCATAATAACTACAAATAGAGACAGGGGCCTTGAATTATTTGTACAATAAATTCTGAAAAGATTATCTGAATTGACACTTTTCAGTGAACATCTAAACTTCATTCTTCAAGTTTTGATAATACTTCTTTATTGTCTGCATCTATAGCTTTTCCAAGTTCCTGAATGACAGAGTGTTGTGCTTCTGTTTCAAGTAATCCATCGACWACARTCCACTGTCCTTGATCAAAYTTTACAGGGAACGAGAAAACAACTCCTTCAGGCACTCCATACCAGCCYTCAGAAATCACCCCAAGAGACCAMATTTCAGATGTTGTAGTGCCATTCCACCAGTCTCGGAGCTGTGTCATTAGTGCTGCACTTGACAGTAATGCCATTTTGACATTTTCCTGTGTTTTCTTCAATGATTCAACAAACTCACCAGCCAACCACTTGTCGTCATGGACCATTTCTGATACAGATCTAGTAAACCCTGGAACATGTGGTCCCCAAATGGCACCATCATAGCCATGGACTCTGGCATGGGAAGCATCGGGGATTTGATTGAAACCAGGATCCCCCCAAATTATTACATCTTTTATTCCAGCTGAATTTACTTCTAACTTTCTGGCTAGTAGACCTTTGGCTTTGTTTTCCTCTGTTCTTGAGAGGGCACAGAATTGATTTTTTGGAATGGATGGTGCATACTTGCTAACAATGTAGGTGTTTAAACAAGCTGCCCCACCAGCCACCAAAACCTTTACTTCCTTACTAGCCTKGGACTCTATTGCTTCCCCTAGTTGTTTGAAAGTTCTAGCACCTTGTATTTTATCGCAAGGCTTAGCTCCATCAAGAAGAATGGCAACTTTGACGTCCTTGAAGGCTGTATTTATATCAGTAGTATATTCAACACTTCTTAACAATGGCCTGGCACAGTCCTGGATTTCAAAGGAAACAGCTTTCAAAGTCTCTNATTTCAAATCCGGAAAAGGAAGAGATTTTTTGAGGAACTTAGAGTGATCGCTTGTACTACATGAACATAGTTATGTATCAATATAAAATTAAACGTAAAACTTGCTTTATTCATACTTTCCGTTTATATTTCGATTGCTTATTATAGTAATCTGTAGAAACAATTTCTTTAGAAACCAAAAYCRCTATTAAAATGTTTGGATGCCCAGCCACAGGAAGCCCAAATCGCTAAGGAGCGGCATTTGCAAAACTTCTCCGATAGCMCGATTATCAGACCCTTTGTGTAAAGAAAGAGGGACTGAGTCTACGACTCATCGATATGGACTCCTGGACCAGAGCACGATGATGTGTGATCCATAACATTTTCTACTCCAGAGCCGTCCTGATTTGTCACATCAAAGTCAGAAACATCAATTTCTGGAGTGTCGTCGTTTTTTCTCAAGAAACAAAGATGTGCGAATAGAATAGAACCTCCTAATATGGTAATGGACCCTGCCATAATGAAGGCACCTGTATAAGACCCCATCTTGTCAGCCATTAGACCTGAAAAATGATGATTAAAATCTAAAATTCCACTGTTTTCAATCACTTTGCAAATGTTGGTAACAAATAATTACGACAAGCCGTAATTCAATGACAGACATCTCATGCGTTCCCGCCTTTTCAAAAGTCAGCCCTACAATTTCTAGATTATCTCATAGAGGTAAAGTACCTGCAATAGCTGGACCAGCAGACAATGACACAGACGTTACCATGTTAGCCTGTCCAAACGCTGACGGTCTACGAGGTACGTCCACAGTATTCATAAATAAGATATTTGTCGTGACACGAAACGCACCATCAGCGATGCCATAGAATACAGCAAAGATAATAAGATGGGTGTAGGTCTTAGAGAAACTTAACAAGATCGTCGATACTCCTGACAATATGGCTCCTRYTTGATGGACGTATCTTGGTTTGATAAAACTGACATCACAAAGTCTTCCACATATTAGTCTTGATACGACTGTCGCAGAACCAAAGAACACAAACAGCGTAGAGCCGTTGCTTACGGACAACTCTTCAGAGAATTTCACCTAAACGTTATGACGACAGATTCAAAAGTTAAAAGAAATACAAGTCTTGTGGATATAGGAGGATGGTCAGTAATACCTTTTACTTTAAGAGTACAACTAGTACATGCACAATTGCATACATGTAGCAATGGAAAAAATCGCGCTGTTAATTTGATGTAAAAAGGTCTAAAAACGATGTAAATATGATGTAAGTAATATTTACATCATTTTGGACACTTATATCAAATTTACACACTTTATACATACATTGTTAATTGATTTATATCTTATTTCCATTATTGAATTCACAACCTTCGAGTAGCGCGATTTYCTCCAGTGTAGTACTGATGGAATTGGAGAATGCGGTAGTGCAATAGACGTATCGCAGAGATGGACACTTCATAAAAGGCAGTACTGAACTATGAACGAAATCTCAATGGCAAAAAAAATGTTCGACTCACCATGTGAATTAAAGCTGAGGATTGTCCAAAACTGGTAACGAATATCGAAATAACACATATCGTGTATTCAGGAAATCTCCACACTGATATGTCAAGAAATCCCAGCACTACTTTACTCYGTATTCTTCCACCACCATTTTCTGTACTGGAACTTATCACTTCGCTTGRKTTAGAAGGCTGTYCCATGGTCTTTACGTTTTCKTCGTWGTTATTTTCTGYCTCAACATTAGGATCCACAACGATGACRAACATTAAAAGCAAAACAAATACCCCAGCAATAATTCGCAGGGTATTTTTCCATCCGAAACTGTCCATYAATACGTRCATGGCAGGTCCAACAATTAGAGTYCCAAGTCCACCGCCAGCGGAAGCTATCCCCATAGCCAAGGAATATCGCTTGTTAAAATACTGTCTGATAGCGATAAACCCTGAAGTGAAGGCTAACGAGTTTCCTATGCCTATCAGCGTACTATAAGTGAAGTAAAGAGGGTACACTGATCGGCAAAGGGAACTTAGAGTTAAACCAGAAACAGTCATTACGAAACCCAAACCATTTGCGATGCGACACGTGTAATGTTCGGAAAGTTTACTTGCAATGGGAGATGTACTGAGACCTATACCCATTGACAGTGACCCAACAAGTGCTATAACAAAGAACAAAAGAGCATCTTAAATCACTTTAAGGAAAAGTTTCAGGATAAAAAGACCTGATTTGAATTTTGATAGATCATGTGCAGATGGTCGATACGTTCTCAACATGAACCATTAGTAGATCTTTGTACCTGTTCTTTCCCGATTTTCATTAAGAGAAACCATTAATGCTGGTAGAATAACTCCATATCCAAACGAAAGGCCACCAAACAAAATGCCGCATAGAAATATGTATGCCAGCACAACCCACGCCCACGGTCCATCTCGACGTCTTGGAAGACTATTGTTGGTGATGTTTGACAACCAAGATGGGTTATTCGTACTATCAGAGGAACTGAAATAAAACAGAAAATGTGTTATCAGCATTGTTTTAACGCTTCTTTTGGTACATGCATAATATAAGCCACTACACGATAAGATACTGAAGGGAAGCTCGAAAGTTAGAACATCTGTATTTGAAGAAAAGTAGTGGTTTGCCATGCCTTGTGATAATAATATATTTCCCCAAAATTAMATCTGTATTTGGTAAAAAGGAATAGATTAATTAGAGAAGTCATGAAAGCGCTCAGCCTGTTGACGTTTTGTCAATTAAGTGTAAACGCTAGTTACCGAAACAAAACTGTAATTAWGGAATTAAGATATGAGGTAGAAGAAAATAAAAAGTATAAACTGAAAATCTAGTTTGAGCAGACATATGTTAGACTTGTTTCCATCGTCTTTTCTGCCGATATTCAATACTACGTGTGACATGATCGACTTTAACAATAGGCACAATTATCAATCCAACTATTCCGTGATTACAGATGGCTGTGTCAGCGGTACGATCACGAAACATTGACATTGTTCATTTAATAATAAAGAGGTTGACAGAAAGTTGAAGAAGTTAAACTTATGCTGAAAAAGGTAAGTTCTTTGATCCCGTTCGTACAGAAATGRTAAGTAGTAAAAGTAATTCGTGGCTATTGCTAAAAAAGAAATTTTTATCGCAAAAAGAAAAAAAAATTACCATAAATCGGATAGGTTACGATGATTTTYATGGTTCGTTTATCATAACAAGGGAAATATTTTGCGCTCTCTCTGTAGTTTAAGAAAGTATACAATGCTTGTAATCATTATTAGAATTGACGAAAAAATTAGAAAATCACGATTGTGTTCGAAATACCTCGATGAGGTCTTGTTTTTTTATAGAGCGCTGAGCGAAAGTCACGGACTTATTGTAGCGTGACTCAGATCCCTTCCATGGCAACGTTACAAAAAAAAAATAACGAAAAAAACAACGCCTTGTGAATTTAGTCAAGTTTAGTGAAGTTTAGTCAAAACGGTTTACAACCCTTACTGGTTTTAGAACATTTCAAAGCAACTTATCCTGAGAATAATGAAGTGTGGATGAATCATATTAATCGTTGGCTTATAAAGAAAGGAAAAGGTTTTTCATCGGTAAAACCCTGAAAGATTCATGTAATAAAAAAAACATGGAAATAGGTGAGAGAACCTTAAGCTTCTCTGGGGGGAGGGGGAAGAGAGATGAACCAATGCACCCCTTCCCCCCTCCCTCCCCCTCCTGGTGGCCTGCTATTTCAATTCAGTTTCACTCTTGGGTCCCTACAATCCACGGGAAAGCAAATGATGAAGGAGGACCAATAAATAGCCTTTGAAGGCTATTTCTCTTTATACTAGTTATCAGTTGTCAGTATAATTCGTGTCTTGAATGATTCGTATTTTTTGTTTTGAGACGTGACTATAAACTCCATGATGGATTGTGTGACAAGTAATTGTTCACCGCTAATCCAATAACACACGCATTTGATCGTGCGCTTTTGCAGGATTAAATATTTTCCCTATCTGAATGCATTTTAAAGACCAAGACATTTATAAATAAAGGCTTTCGTTAGCTTTCTATTTTTTTAATCAACTGTGTTTTAATAGAGTTAGCGTTTGCGGTGACAGATCTTGAGGATTTAGCTAGTGACATTGTCATTATTGGCTGCTCTCTTCTGTAAAGCCGAGAATTACCTTAAACAACATATTCTACTTTTCCAAATYATTAATAGTTATAAAATGGTTGAATAAAATTGTGTGATGTGATTGGCTTAGAGGAGTGGTAATMTSTGGCTATCTCCCTCRTCTCTCTTACAGTCCAGGCAGCGACTAYTAAAATGCGGAACATTCAATGGCATTGCGCATTAAGTCACTGTATTGTGTTGTGGATTTTCAATGTAATATGGTATCTTGCWACAAATAGGCATGAAAAAAACATGWAAAACTTTCTACTCATAAAAGGCCATAAAACATTTATAGATCTATCGCCTATCACGTAATCATTGCATATATAGTACATTGCATGTTCACTCGACTGCACGTCCAACAATGAAATATCAATTAATTACCTCGTTGTTATTTGTATGCTGTTGTTCATATGGAGTAGAGATCAGGTCAGATGCTCTGTGAGGATTAAAAGAAAGAACTCCTCTGCAGTATCTACTGCAATAATTCTTCTTTGTTTATCAGTAACGGGATGTCGTTCCTACGTCTAGAATGCCTTCGTTGTCGAGTTGACCTTCGGATAAGACCAGTCAGCTKGCTAAACATACTTTGCATAAAAGTTAAATAATTTAAAAACAATCCCGATAAGAATATCAACCCTTACAAATCGCCATTAAGAACGCTAGGAATAATGTTATGTGGTCTTCTGTTATGGTCAGCACTATCGGGGTTAAATCTTTACTGTTACTTACACACAAAACAGGGCTGCTGKCTTTATAAAACCTGTACATCTCCGCGTCTTGCGAATAAGAATAAGCCTCTGCCGAGTCAAGATCGATTCAAGACATAAGTGTCAGTTATGCCAGTATTTATTTAGGCGGCCAGAGCGGTAATAGGCTTAGTTTTCAGACATTATCGGATGATAATGTATTGCGGGCGCGTATGAAATCTAGTTAGTAGAAACCTGATACTTGAGGTGAAAGCCCCGGCCGCAAGAAGTATATTCTACAACTCCCTGCGTCTACCGAAAAAGCCTGGTCCAGGCATTTTTTGTTGAGGTGTGAACAAAATKTAGTAGCACAGCCCAGCCAGAGGTGTATCAGTGACGTCATTSTGCAACTAAGTCTATCAATTTTTCACTGATGAATTACCATCCCAATAAGCTGGCCATAAACGCGATATACATAATCAAAGCGAGCTTGAAATGGGATCAAAGACACCAGCTGCTTATAATCTTGCACAATTTGTTAGTTATTCCTTTCTTCTTTTGGGGTTCCTGTGGTTCGTTTCTAGTCTTCCTCCTATCATGATATCAAAATGGCGGACGGAGCGTCACTTGACAAGATGTCGATTTTAGTGTTGAATAATGACTGTTTGATAAAGATTATGTCAAATATCGACGAGTATGCGTCCTTTTACAATTTTTCACTGGTCTGCAAGCGATTTTATAATGTAGTGACTAGGGTCGTCCGAGACTGGCACTACAACATCAAAGCCAGGAAAGTGATGTTTTATGCCATGAACTTCATGACTGTTGAGTATCATAACGCGACAGATTCGCGAGCTGACAAGGACGSAGAACACTGGCCAGGATTAGATGAATTGTCCAGGCACATAGATCTATACCAAGCAACTAAACCAACACTTGRCAATGTGSAGAGAGTGTGGAGGTCAAGAGGCCCTGTGGCTGCTGAACTCTTTACTTGGATCAATAATGTRAGGATYATTGAGAAAACCGATCTAATGCAAAAAAGAGAAGAAAGACCAAKACGCAAAAGAGAGATTACTCTTTTATTGCCAAAGACACAAAAAGAATYGACTTATGGCTTTAGGGAAAGTAGACCCGAGTGGATAATAATRTCAGCTAAGTTTGGCRAAGAAGACAGTTTTGTGTTCAAATGTTCATATCAAAGGAGACCTGGATATTATTACGATTGGAGTGACCGTGATATAGACTTAGTTTTTAACCATGTGTACTCTGGAAGGATATTAGATGTTATTAGAGAAAACCTTGGTGAAACAAACCACCCAGTCACTGGCCGGAATCTTCTTTGGCTTCTGTTTTATCCCGAGTCCTTGGAGACAGAACCGCGGAGTGATGACCTTGAATTGGTATTCCAAGATATCAGCAGGAACATGGCACCAACGCTTGCATCAGTTGAGCCAGCTTTGCAWCRCTKGGAACAGAGCCATTCTATGCTAATRGCAATAGGAGAATCCMAAAATGTCAWGAAAATTGTGGAAATGTTGAAATATATGGAAAACTATCCTAAATCACTTCTTATTAAACTTTTGCAGAATCTCCATAAAGTGGCAAAGCGGTTTCGTTATATSCCTCAAGAACTGTTAATGTRCCTAATGCTGAGAACAACAGCTTCGCCTCCAAGACTGAATGAAGTYTCTGAGCCTGTTWCTGAAGAGAGATGTTTTACATTTAGAATAAACAGAGGGCAAATCCTCCAGGGAAAGTTATTGCTAGAAGCTGATAATGACTCAACKGATGATGCATATATGAGATGGGAATTTGAACTGCCTGATGGCAGCACGATAAACTTTGATAGAAGCGAAATCAAGTATATAGATTATGGCATAATTGATTGCGAGTTTGAAATCACACGCCTCTATAT